AGCCCAAACAACCGATTGCACACCTCGTCGTAGAACCACATCAAAAATCATCAGCGTCGATGTAGAAGCTCACCCGAAACACTAAACCCTAAACAACTTCAAACACCCTAGACAACCCTTAGACACCGCTCAAAGACCAATAGGGTCCTGACAGAATCGTATAGAAGCCCTCGGATCTTTCAACAAGCGCCGCCTAAACCCTAAAAGCTTTTTGCTTAAACCCGTAAACCCTAAACCCTTCTAAACCGTCAACGCGTGCGATTCTAAGCCCTAAGACCTTAGACCATGAAACCCCGGCAGGATCCATCTGACTGTGGGGCCTCGACACTGCACTCGGCGGGTGACGAGGGCACCCGCATGGCACGCGGGACAGTGCTGACCAGGCAGGGTTTCGAGGGGACTGTTTTTAAGAAGGCTTCCATTCTAAGGCTCTTGATATCTCTGTCTATACAGCTGTATGAGTCTCTATGTATTTACATATATGCGTATGTAGATATACATATATATATATATATACATATATATATATATTGTGTATATATATATATACATGTACATATGAAGTTACAGGGTCTCTGAGGGCTCTATCACGACTCCATACTCAGGATGTAATGGTATGGGGCTGAAAACATTTAAGCACGATTGAGGACGCATGTAATTATTCTCCGACCGACCACCAGCAGGATCGAACAGGCATCCAATTCTCGACCCACAAATCTTAGGACAGTCTGCTTTTCCCGACAGCACCATCGAACGCGTTCTATTCTAGAAGAGCTTGCTTTGACAAGCTACAAAAACAAACCTCCCAAGACAGTTTTCTCCGACCACAAGCATCCCAGAACAGTCCGTCACCGCCATGTAGGACAGTTTCTCCTCAGGACTTATCATCTCAGACACCGCAGCTCCTCATTCTAACAATAATCCTCGGGACTCCAAGAACTCCTGACTATTCCCCGGCACTTTATCAAGAGTCAAGGCCCTGTTAGAATATGAATTTTCCTGTTTTCTCCATGAAGCGAGTTGGGATGCAGGGGGTGGCAATGGAGAGTTCAACAACGCGACTGACCTGAGAATGATATGTAATATAGAAGCGTAAATGATTACCAATACTAGTTCGGGGGTTCCTTAGAGTAAGTATAGTACAAGGTGCCCCAAAACCCTATTGAAACTATGAAGGCCCCTGCGGTACGCGGGAGGTTCGCTAACTTCGGGCTCCTGCTTGGAACCCTAAACCCTAAGTCCTAAACCCACGAACAAGGCATCACCCTTCCAAAGGCTCCCTGAAAGACAACCTGACTCAGAGACCTCCCCCCCTGTCCCTGGGGTTTAGGGTTTGGGGTTTCGAGAGATTGTGAAGGGTTTGGGTGCAAATAAGTGTTTACCAAAAGTTTTGGGCTGGGCTGGGCAGGGCAGGGTTGGGCCTGGGCTGCTGTGAACACACACAGGCTATACTTATTTCGACTTGAGGGTCTAGGGTTTAGGGATGGCTAATTTGAGCACAGCTGTGACAAACTCGTGCAAGGATATGGGTTGTGGATTTTAGGGCTTAGGATTTTATTATACTAATGCTAAACCATGTACTTGAAAGGAATCCGCAGTCGTGGAGGGCTTGAGAATAATACATTTCCTGTACTTAGAAGACCCTCAACCCGAACCCTTAAACTTCGGTCCAGGCCAGTCGACGCCCCAACCCTGGGGCATCGTCGAGGATGGGATCCAGCCGGCATGTTTCAAAAGCCACTACATTTGATGACCGCTGCTCAACCAGCTCAACCGCTGTGCTTTCTGCTAGAGAGTTTGTGGGTGAAGCGAAGCGTTGCCTTCTTGCGATATGCAAGAACTGCATTGGCCGCGATGCCTGTCGTGGCTTTGTGACACTGCCTGCTGTAGCTCCAATTTCTGAAGTCTTGCAGCATGCGAGCCAACATCCAAAGGCCTCCGAAATCAATGCGCAGTTGTGCAATGTCATGAAGCATAGTTGAACATGTACAGCACCACGAACATCAATCGTGAAGCAAGACTCTTTGCGACTCCATAGTGAACGTATATGATGCTGACTTCTCCAGCACTGTCATGGCGACTGGGTTCAAGGCGGTTCTGCTCTGGTTTATCTTTGTAGAAGCATAGCATGGTCTTTCTCAGTGACGGTGCCCCAAGGTACTTTAGCTGCTGAAGCATTTAGCAAAGCAAGACAGACAAAACGGGATATGCCGACCCAACGTGCGAGGTCCTGCTCATGGGACACACCGCGGCTGGACACCCAAACAAAGGAGTCAGCTCCACTTGCATAAATCGCAAGTTGCCCCTCAGGCTGGAATGACGTCCATGAAATCGATCATCTTTGACGGCTATCATTCAAAGGCCTGCCTCGAAGACAAGACAGTCAATGCAAGTGTAGACAAGCGGCCGGATGGAAAGGGTCGGAAAGGGCGCATTGCCTGGATTCCCTTGGTACCTAGCACCACGGAAGGACACCAAGCATCTCCAGCAGACAATTTACGTGGCTCACAATTCGTGGGGCACTCTTCTGTCACGCTTCAGCAGCAGATGCAAACAGAGCACCGGGGTCTGAGCCTCAGGCTGCGGTTCGTCGGAACCCGGATCCAGCTCTGGGACTGCGGAGGACGATCGCATATCAGTGGAGTCGTGTTGCCCACTTTGCCTTCTGACAACAGGTCATCCCCAATTCCTGGAGAATTACTTTGAGTCGCAGCCCGAGAAGATCTTCCAGCACTGCGAGGCGGACATCGCGCATCGTCCCACGCAGACATGTGAGGCATCACGCTTGGACTTGTGCTCATTACCTTGGGACAACTCAGCAGAAGAAGATTGCTAACGTTGCTGACGATAGTGGTGCCTCATGCAGGCGAACGGGCTAGTCAAGGGGCTGCAAATCTTGAGGTGCTCATCTACGTCCTTGTAGCCGTGAGGGACCAGGACACCGAAGATAAGAAGAAGGACAAACCATGGGAACAAAAGCAAGGGAAACGCGAGTCGTGCACGCTTCAGGCATAGGCGAGCTTCTTTCTTTTCCAAACCAGGACATTGAGTACTTCAAAGCAGCCCGTGCCGTGGCCCAAGCACCACCTTTGACTTTGCCGAGGAATTGGTTAGTAGCTGTAGAAGACGCCTTGGGAAGCAACTGTAATTCCGAGGATTTCTATTTGATTCCAGACCTGTTGCTGCTGATTGCACTTGCCCGTGAGTGCGCATGCTGGCTTGCAGCAAGGAGGCTTTGGCTATCCACTCGCCCAACGCTGTGACCTTTGCTTTGATCCACAAGCCAGAGCCTAGACTTCAGGACTGCTTGCAATTGCTTGCCCTGTTAAGACAAGTACCCTCCAAGCTGCAGCTCATGGAATGTCAGGCACTGTTCAAGCCCCAGCCTACTTATCCAAATCGATTCCTTGCCCAGGTTGGACCGGTTCCATGAGAGCGAGCGCAGCGAAGTCTTCAAGCAGTACGAGCGGGAGCTCACTGCTTCGATGACTCATGTACACCGTATGTGTGGGTTGTCATCCATAAGGATTCGCAGCTTCTGAGGTGTAATCATCTACTGACCTGGGGTCTAGGACGTCAGTCCAAGATTCTTGCCGAAGAGGACCCCCAAACCAAAGACGGAGATGGGTTGGCCAGGCACCCCGAACCTTTTTTTTAAAGAGATGTCCACCCCCGCTCCCCTTTCTGAACATCAGACACCTTTAGACTATTGTACCGAAAGCAATTAGCCAGGGACGTAGTGATGCATGAGTGATGTGCGAATCTGTGTAGCCTCAGGAGCTGCTCAGCATCGCTCCAAACAGAAACCTCGTGACGTGGACAGCAAGAGAGCTTGAATAGATACTTTCAGTACTTCCGACTTGGGCGACCTAACATGCTTGTGTACTGTTTAGCTAGGCTTCAAGGTTCCCAAGCACGGCATTTTCTCACCGTCTCTACCATGCTTGCTCATGTGAGAAAGCTTGACACGGGCCAATGCACTTGTCATTTGAGAGTTTGCGTGCGCCAAGACATGCCTGCCTACCTCGATTTGGGCCGCAACCCTGGAGATGCGATGCAGTGAAGAGTGCGTGCAGACACTTTCAATGCATCCTCAATCTTGCGCTCTCCGTGCACTCCCAGTGAAGATAGGCAACAAGTCCTGTCGTAGATAGGCGCAAGGATTTGAGGCCTTCACGGAAGATGTTCCGCTCAGTGCAAGTCAGCCCGACATGGCTCATTGCCATGACCAGGACGACACACTCTTCAAAGCGTGGACAAAGACCCGCGCTGGGCTGGGTGAGGGAGGCAACTGTGGACAGGGCTGAGATGATGGGTAGCGGAAGTAACACACATTCAAAGATGGAGACATGCAAGGACCGGCAATGTCAAGTTTGTCATGCATTCTTATTCTATATTGTGATCTGGGCGGGGCGGGGGCAGGTTGTTTTTCTTTCGCTGTGTGAAGATGTGTCTGTCTCTCCGCATTTCATGCTGCCACGTATGTCCATGCATACCTTGTGACATCAAATTGCAATGAGTTTGGGGGCGCTCCTTGCACGGCTTACAGGATGTTTGCGTTCTGCTGCCAGTGAGGATTATGGCAGTGTGCGTTCCAGATCGCCAGATCTTGCAGCCGCCAGCTCAGCACCTGCCTATGCTGGAATTACACTTGCGCTGGGCACCTACTATAGTCTACTATAATAGTAGCATTATAGAATACTATAGTCTACTATAGTATGGTTATGGTACTAAGTGCCTCTTCGCGGCGTTCGCGGAACCAAGGGATCACCTGGACTTTATGTGTCAAGTTCTGCAGGCCGATGAGGCTTGGCGAGGGGATGTAAAGAACGCTGCAGCAGACTGACAGCTCATAGCTGTTTTGCGGGCCCGCAAGTTAGAAAACTCGGTTCCTCAGCAGCAAATCGGCAGCAGTAGTAAATTGAAGGGGGCAAATTGCAAAGCTATGCGAACCTATGCAAAGCTGGGTGATCTGCCACCCTAAACCCTGAACCTCCCAGATTGTGCTTTTCGAGAAGAACACCTTCCTCGTTATCTCGGACGCCGGCACCAAAGCCATCCAGGTTCGGAGCTGAGACACAGGGAGACTTAGTAGCATCATCATGATAGACTATATAGTCTACTATCATAGTACCATGATAGATACTTTAGTCTACTATAGTAGCATTCTAGAATGCTATGGTCTACTATAGTATGGTGATGGTACTAAGTATCTGAGCTTTGAGCTGAGCTCCGGCAAGGACTGCTGCCGCTTTGAGAAGCTCTCCAACATCATCAAGCGGTGCTTCCTGCCAGGGTTTAGGGTTTAGTGCCACGCTTCCCTGGCCTCTTTTGGCTTCTTGCACTCCCCTTTAGCCTGTGAGCCAGGTTTAAACTCAGCTGCCAGAAGGCGAAGACGAACTTCCACAATTTCGAGGTGCTGGCTGAAACTTCCCTGACTTAGGATGCTCGTTCGGATCGATGAACGCAGCGCAGCAGCTTTGCAGCAGCTGTCTCGTACTTCAGGTGAAGAACGACAAGTTTCGAGCCACGATGGAGCCCTTCCTCTCGCACAGCTATGTCAGACTGCTGGGCAAACATGTTGGGCAGCTAGGGCAATGAGTAACCAGATTACGAGCATGAGTTGAGGACTCGTCAACTTTGTCTAGTAATGTACAGTTTGTCAACGATGTGATGCAGGAGACGGACTATAGACTACGTAGCGACTTGCCAGCTCGATTGCTAGGGCTTGGGATTGCTCGCCTTTTGGTTTGGCAGCCCCTGTATGAATGTGTAAAGACTGCCCATTCGATGCGGCAGTTGAGCGCTAATGAAGCCCTTCAGGCGCAAGTAGACTTTTTTGAAGTCCAACCGGAGATGCCGCGCAGCCTCCGTGCAGATCATGGTTGTGGTCTCTGACCTTACCATCACCTCCTCAGCCATCTCTGCAAACCTTTGGGCGATGGCCTCAGGAAGGCATGGGACTTGCAGTCACAAGTCTTCCCAGACAGCAACGAAGCGGAGATCAGCCTTGCAAGCAAAGACCTTCCTCCCCCCCTCTGCCGGCTTTCGCTTCAGTCAAAACTGTGACGTGCCCAGACATGCCTAGACAACCTCCACTGGCATGCGCTGGCATGCACTAGCATGTGGCATCTGCTGATACTTGTTGTCTCTTCAGCATCTGACGTACTCAAGGCAGCTCGCGCTCACTTTGTGGAGATGTTGAAGGCACGAGCGCAGTGCCAGACTGGTACAGCTTCGGATTCCGTTGTTTTTTTATGTCCGAATGAGTAGGCAAGGCATTAGGGGCATGTCTGACAAAACACGGGTCTGCCTGTGTTGAGATTACTGGTTATACTTGTGTGGCGGAAGAGACGGCGCCAAGTGTTTCGGTTGGCCAGAACGGTACCTTCAGTGCGCTTCTGTGAGATGGCAGTAGCCTGCGGGCTCCTTCTGAAGCGAATTTAGCGTAGCTGCTGGCTTCACTTCGACCCTCACCTGAGAGTTTCTCTTGCTGGCGGCTTCAGCTGAAGTCGCCGGCATTGTGTGCAGCTCTTCTATGGGTAATTTAGTTTCATCGCGAAGAGTCGCTCCTTCGACGAGCACGTCTGATTCTTGATTCAACCGTCTAAAGGATATTCAGTTGTGTCCTACAGCTGTGCGTCTGGTAGCTTGAATTATTGCAGCAGCTAGGTTGAAATCAACCGCAGCCTGTGTCTTGCCCGGCTTCATTCAGCTTTGCGTCGGAAGTGCGGTCTTGATCGCTGGCCAGTAGCCCAGCTGCAATGTGTTGCACAGACTTGGCCATGGTTACCAGGAGTTGTTGGGCGCATGCTTGAAGCTGCTGTTGTAGCTTGAATCTCGGCTCCGGGAGCAGGGCCCACATTGATCTTACCATGAGAGGATCACCGGAGCAGACACCAGGAAGTCGCCCTGAGGAGAAAGGAACGGAGTCTCAGCTCAGGCTTCTTGACAGATGCCATGCGGGACCAAAGACATATGGACTCTCCCGTTGGATCCTTCAGATACGCAGTGGGCATGTGACTTCACTGCCTCAAGCGGTCTGAAAACTATGGCCAAGACTCTTCTTTTCTGTACAACTGCTAGCCAACAACTTCAGCGCCAGGACTCGCGCCAGGCCATGCTGACATCGGCAGGTGCTGCTTACATAGTGTTTCGCTACGGTAGGTTTGAGGGTTTAGGGCTTTGGGTTTAGGGTTTACAGTTTCGGGCAAGTGGAGTGCTGAATCAGGATTCTATGTTATGTGATGCTCGAAGTATTCCACTCTTTGTAGTATGTCATACGACCACCAGATAAACTGCGGCTCCGAGATCTACCCTTTTGAGGCTTGAGAAAGGACAGGCCCGAGATCCAGACCCTACCTGAACTCTACCCAACCTACTCCACAGGGTCTGCATTCTGACTTGACATAGAATTCCTGAGACAGATCTTGAAGACAGGGGCTGGTAGGAGTAGGTTTTTGGGGAGGATCGCGACGTCCCAAATTTCCGGCTTAAAAGTAGCCCTTGCTAACCCTTGTAATGACCCCTTGTAGGAACTCTTGAAGGAACCCTAGTCTGGTCATTGTAGTTTTGGGGGTTATGTAGAATATAGAAAAAGCCAAAACCCCATTATTATTTTGGCCCCTACATTAAGGCCCCTCTGTTCGACTCCTTTGTTTGGCAGCTGCGATGGCTCGAGGCTGCAGCGATGCGTAAAGCCACTCGAGCAGGCAGTCGTGGGGTTCGACATGAGTGCAAAAAGGGGTTCCTATGAGGGTTGTACAGAAGCCTGAATAATTACCAGTATTATTGTCAGGATTCCTTATTATAATTATGGTATAGTCGGCCCAAAACCCTATTCGAATTATTAAGGCCCCTACATTAGACCCTAATTTAGAGAAATACCCATGAGGGTCTTATCAGGGGTTACGAGAGAGGTTCCTACAAAGGCTACAAGCAGGCTACCACAAGAGCTTCTACGAGTAGAAGGGTTACTGGGGTATTGGATTCATGTCCAGCGTTCTGGGGCATCGGGTCCAATTCACGTACACGCTGTGCGCAACAGCATCAATAAAGGCTGAGGGGGACGGGGCTGCCGTTCATGATAGGTGCTTCATACATCTCATCACATCTCTCAAAATTACTCGAATGACTGGACTGCGAATCTTTGCCATCTTCCTGAGAGTTGCCGTTCTTGACGTCTAAGCGCGTCCGTCAAATCAAGCCTAACATTCCAAATACTGGGCACCAGAAGCTTGACACTACAAAACAAGGGCAGCAACCGCGGGGATGGTTTGCACCCGCCGAAGTACCGCAATATACCGAAGCGCGGAAAGGGCTTTCATGCACGATACCGTGGAAAGGGCGCTTGCCATAATCGTCCAGCACGTCTTGAGGTCGATCAGGAATCAAGTGGTATCTCCGCAGCCTTTGAACCCCATACATTCCCTCCAAAGCCTAAACCGTAAACACTAGGTATACCGAAACCCTAAACCCCCTAAACCCTATATCTCCCAAGCCCCGCAAGCCAAAAAACCGCACAAGAGGCCACGCCTCGGCCGGCAACGTCGGTCGGGAGGCGTCCCTGGAGGGGCTACTGGGGTTCACTTCAAGGGTTTAGGAGTTTAGGGTTTTGGGTTTAGGACTCTGGGGTTTCGGGTGTATAGTTATAGGCCGGCCTGAAGATTGAAGAATAGATGAGTTCTGTCATATCTCTGTCTGAATCAGGAATGTGCAAATGTTACTTTCGCAGAAAGCGCTCCATCATAGAGCCCCGGTGCTTCAGCATGGGATCAGGTACCCGGAGGGCGCCACCACACCTCCAGCAACTGCAAGGCCATTCTCCGCCTGGGATTCATATTGGGATTACCGCACGTAGGATCCCCCAAAACAGGGAACTACCGGTATGAGTTTAGCATTGAGGCGGCTTTGAAACCCGGTTGGGGCGTGGGGAGGTTGGGGGTTCAAAGTCCCTGAGTGCAGCCCCATGGAGCAACCTTAATATAGGGTTTAGGGTTCACAAGGTTAGGGTTTAGGGTAAATGATTACCAATACTATGTCGGGTCCTTATTATAACTACAGTATATTGGGCCCCAAACCCTATTCTAATTGTTAAGGCCCCGACATTAGAACAACTTTACAACCCAAGCAGCCGAAGATTTTGCGCCTAAACCCTAAACCCTAAACACCCAAGCAGCCGAAGATTTTGCGCCTGCCCGTGAGTGTCAAGACCTTTGTGAAGATGTTTCAGATCCAGAGTTGCTTCGAGTTTGGGGCATTTAGGGCTTTAGGGGTTTGGGGTTGAGGGTTTAGGGGTTTAGGGTTTAGGGGTTTAGGGTTTAGGATTTAGGGTTTAGGGTTTAGGGGTTTAGGGTTTAGGGGTTTAGGGTTTAGAAGTCGGTCACCGGAACATCGGCGGTGACTTAAAGACACAGGACACAGCAGACATCGGCCTGCCGCATCCAAAAGCTTCCGCTCCCGAAAAGCTGTAGCCCCAAACCCTGACGCGTCCTCTCGGGCCCTGAAGAAAGGCTTGTCATCGTCCACGGCCTTTTACCCGAAGTCGTATCTCGCCCCCTCCGGCGGCCTTCTAGCGACTGCTGCGCATCTCAATTAACGAAGTCTGCCAGAATCGGACACCCGCAGATGCAAACAACCAGACAGCAGACAGCATGATTGCTTGCATTAGCCTTTCTGTGGGCTCCAGTTATTTAATATATTCCAACTTTTTATGCTTAGCAACCTACTGCGTAAATGTAACTGAGGCCTTGGGCCTTAGAAGACACGGCAACGCCGGGATACACCTGCGATGAAATCTGCTTACGCAGAGGAGACTCTCTTCCCTGGGCGCGCCTCCGTGCCCTGGCGAGTCCTTGATCAGGGGTTTAGGGTTTTGGGTTTAGGGCTTAGGGTTTGGGGTTTTGGACTTAGGGTTTTAGGATTAGGGTTTAGGGCTTAGGGTTCCGAATTGCGTGGAGTTGAGGAGCTTTTGCGACTTAGAGTTTAAGCAGCGACTCCAGCAATGAGAATTGGGGCCTCCTTTTCGAGAAGGCGAGGAGTTGCAGACTTCGGCATGCAGTGAGAGAACGTAAGGTGTCTAAACCACTAACGACTCTTCTGCAAAGGAGCTTTTGCTGTTGGGCCTAATGTTCGTTCTCAGGGATGCCTTAAGCGTTGACGGACTCTCTCTCTCTCTCTTCATAACTTGCACGGCGATCGCCTCCCCATCCTCCTCCTTACCACTTGCTGCTGCTGCTGCTGCTGTTGCTGCTCCTACCGCTATTTCGACTAAATACCACGACTACGACGACGACTACTATTGCCGCTATCGCTAGCACTACCACTGCCACTGACTACAACTGTAATACGACCACAAGTACTCCTCCTGCTAGTGCACTGCAGCGGCCGCGACTACATCGACTAGTACGACCACTGCTGCCACTGCTACCACCACGGTCATTACCAGCTCGATCACGACAACGGCTAGAACTGCTTTTGTGCTGGTACCAGAGTGGGTCTCGTGCCGACATCAGAGGGGACCCTCAGCACCACGACCGCCAAGTTGTGCCTTTACCAAGGCAGCTGCCCCGCGGCCCGCGACCCGGGCAGGAGAAATGCCCATGCAAGGAGCTCAAAAAGGTCAGTCGATTTCGGCTGTGGGGAAATTTGCTGGTAGGTTTCTTTTCTTAGTTATATACCGCGAAACCTTATTCTGATTATGAAGCCTCCCACATTTTCTGAGGTGTTTCTGAGCAGGATTATAAGGTTTGATACGGCTCTCTCATGTTGACATAGGGATATTCAAACATAATTGCCGTTTTGGTAATCTGGTAATCGTTTTCACATCTCACTTTCCAGGGTCTACCAGGTGCAGGTGCGAGTTTATAAGGCATAAAGGTTGGTCTAAGTTTGGCACTCTGTTGGCTGATGGGACGTCATAAACGGGGGTTTCCGAAAATAGGGGACCCCAATATAGTACTCTAAATAGTGGGATCCGTGTTATAAGGACCCCAAAACAAGGTAGCCCTGATTTTCCGAAACTCCCAAATGAGAAGTGGCTGGGGCACTTTCTCAGCTTGCCACCGAACCTCGCGCCCTACGAACTGA